AGTAATTCATATGACGATTTATCCTTTTTTTTTTTCCTTTTGTGGGTTTTTTTTTGGAAAGGCGAGAATTTTATTAAAAAACTAGCAAGAAGCTAGAAAAAAAGAACATCACAACAAATTACAAGCAATGACATGATTATGAAGCCATGAAGTCTAGCCTATATTAGCTTTGCTACACCTATTCGAAACCCAAAAAAAAAGAGTTTTTGACAACGTCATCAAAAATGGGTGATTACCTAGGCAACACCGTTCCAAAGAGAATAGAATTACGAAAATTCCAAATACACCATAAAGTAGTCATGATCACCGCGTCGAAAACTTTCCGCTGACCACTTCTCCAAGCGAACGAATTAGACCAAAACAAGAAGGAATCTATGGAAAGATGTTGAGGAAGTTGAACACCCCACCAAATGACAATTCTAGTCCAAAGATCAATCAACTCACTACACCCAACAAACAACAGATGATCAGTAGACTCAACCCTAGCAGAACAAACTGGACACAAGATCGAATCCAACAAAAAACCCTTATGAGAAAGATTTGCCCAAGTAGGAAGTCCATTTAATCTTAATCTCCAAATGAAAATATTCAACTTAATTGAAACCAAATTATGCCAATAAGTATCCTTACCATCTATAGACAACATACCATTATCAATATAAGATATGGCTGAAGAGACTGTAAAATGATCAGACGTATAGTCGATGGTTTTACAGTTTACTAATAGGTTGTGATATTATCATTTGTGTTTTTTATTCATCCATTAAAAAAAATGTGTTTTGACTTTTATATTTTTATCATAATTCTTTGTTTTCAGTTGAAGAATATAAAAATAAAACTATTTTAAACAGATAAATAAGAAAACATAGAAATATTACCTCTTTTACTAATCGACAAAATGAATTACACATTTTTGGATGCCATATTTAATTTGTAATGAATTTCGAGTCATTTTTGTCACAGTTTTATTAACATTTGATTTTGGTTTACATAAATGTTTGCTTCTTATCTCGATTTTATATTATACTAGTTGCATTTTTGGATGCCATATTTAATTTGTAATGAATTTCGAGTCATTTTTGTCACAGTTTTATTAACATTTGATTTTGGTTTACATAAATGTTTGCTTCTTATCTCGATTTTATATTATACTAGTTGTGAGACTCATGTATTACATGAGTTAATCTAAAAAAAAGTTAAATATAAAAATCAAAATATTTGAGAACTTTGAATTTATAAGAAAATAAGAAAAATAATGAATTATTATAATTGAAATGTTTTTTATCTTTTAAATTTAAACAAATAATTTATATAAATAAATAAATAAACTAATTAGCTTTAATTTGGGAATTTTGAAACTAAAATATAAGTTCATTAATGAAATTGATATCTATTTATTAGTATATTTATTGTAATTATTATATTAAAATACAATGTAGAATTTAATAAAATAGAAAAACTTATAAAATGACATACAGAAAAAAAAATCAAAATAACTATAAAATGACATTTGACAAATTGGATGAGAAAGTGACATGTGGTAAAAAAAAACTTTCATTTATTAGAGTAGATGAGATAAAGTGATAAATTGCAAGGTTCTAAATAACGTAAGGCGTGACTTGGCGGCAATCTCAAGCCTCAAGCTTTTCCGAGCCTTGGCGAGCCACATCGTTTGTAAGGCGTGACTTAAGGCGGCAATTTTGTATATAATTCATATTTTTATATGTATTTTCTACTATTATTCATTTTTATACACATATATGAGTCAAGGCGGCGTTTTGGTAAAGCTTGGCGGCACATACAAGCCTTGGAGCCATGGCGCGCCATGGCGGAGCCATGACGAGCTTTTTAGAACCTTGATAAATTGTATTAGGGTTTCGGTTTATATTGACGTGTCCGCTTTAATTTAATATTAAGATGTATGAAGACAAAATTACGTGTAAAATGAAAGTATTTAGAAAATCAAGATATGAGAAAATATACTAATGGTTTATAATCAAATAGGGACGAGTGAATTGACCAAAAAACCGAATCGTAATCGGAACCGATATGAATCATACAAGGGTATTGGATTTGGTTTTTGGTTATTTGAATTTTCATTTCCAGATTGATTTTTTCGATTCCGGATCGGTTTGATCTGGTTCGGGAACCGATCTCATACCTATAATCATATGTCGGACCATAAACCGGTTGATAATTAGTCGGCTACTGTTTTAATCAATTATTTTTCTTATTTGATTATAAATTCATGGACATTTAAATCTAATCAACTATGTTTCTTATTTGTATGTTTCTTATTTGACTATAAATTCATGGACATTTAAATCTTTCTGTATATCTCTTCCATGTAAATAAATGAATGACAACGAGTTTTATACAAGTAAGAGTATCTACGGCATGCTTATTTCTTTTTAATAAGTTTTTTTTAGCATCATGTCATTGTTAGACCAACAACTAAGCCTTTTACAAGGTTTATTTATGGGTTCTACGAATAGCTTTTTATTTATAATTGCTAAAGTGAAATAACAATGAATATTAAATTGGAATTTGTTAGAAAAAAAACATTTTTAATTTTTTCCAAAAAATAGTTTTACTAGAAAAGTATTTTGTCAAAAATATTTCAATTTTCACCAATATTTAATAGTGTGTTATTTCTTTGATTTTTGACACGTTTCTGGTCAGATGCATAGGCAACACTTTGTGAGGTTGATCGAACACTTTCTTGATCTGTTGCAATACATTCTCGACTAAGACAAAAAAAAAAAAAAAAAAAAAAAAAAAAAAAAAAAAAAAAAAAAACTCCTTTCTAAGCTTAATGCAACTTTTATGGAGTGTTGAAATAGTTGCTAATTTATCTTTTAGATCGTCACATTATAATTAATCTCATAAAATGCAATGAGCTTGTTAGACAAAGATCCAATTTGGATTTTGATTTGATTATTATTTAAACAAAGTGAAATTATGGGCTGTTGGAAAGTTAGGGTTTGTAGTGGAGATCAGGATACCAACTTGGATAATGAGAACATTTTTCGAACTGATATTTCTACCATATGCCTGGGCTGCAAGAAATTCAGCCTAGGATAATCCAAGTTGACACTTACGATTCTAGGCACAGAAATCGTAAGCCAAATTGCTAGAAAGATTCTGTGAAAGTTTGTAAAAAACGAGAGCTAATTTTCGTGGTCCCTCTTCTCAAAAAGAAGAGTCGTTTATATAATAAACGATATTAGGGTTTCATTAGGGTTGGGCCGTCATTAGTTGCTTTTGAAGCAAGTCAGAGTAATCCGAATTTTAATGAGGATTTAGGGTTACCAAAACTAACGAGTTTCGTTAGTTTTACCATAATCACCCAGCCATTGGACTCCACTAGGGGCGCTGCCCCTAGACCCCGCCAAAGAGGCGCCGCCCCTTTGGAAACCCCGGACCCAAGAGCGTTGCCCCCGGACCTAGGGACGCTGCCCCCAGACCCCTGACTTGTCGTCGAACCGGCTTCTAATTTGATCTTATATGTGTGTGCACTCCGCACCAACTCGTACATATATTAGAGTACAATTTATGAAACCTCTTAGCTCACATGTTAGTTCCAGTTACATAAAATGACATGGTGACACTAAAATCACCAACATAGGCAAACCCCAACATTATATGTACGCAATATTTTTGTTATATATGTTAAACTTCTTATTAGACTTTGTTTTAGACGGTTTATGATTGATTTCAATAAAATTTTAGATCAATTTTAAGACCGTTTGTAATGATTTCAACCAAGTTTCACTTTTTAAAGATTAAATGGGGTTATGGAGCTGTTTAAGGACTCATGGGCGAATTCCACTCGTTTAGGACCGTTTTTAGGTCAGACAACCATTTTTTAACTGTTTTAGCCAATTTGAATTGCACTTATGTTTTATTGGGAAACTACATGTAATGCAGATTTCAACACTTTTGTCATCATTTCTTATGACATTTTTTCTATAAGTTTTTCTTTTGAGTTTCCATGTAGTTTTTGTATTTTCAAAATTTATGTTTGATGGTCTATGATATAAGTTTTAAATAAAAAAAGGGATGGAACTTGTCTATGAGAGAAAACGATATTGAATTGACTATGCTAAATTAGTGTTTTTTATGTGGTCCTAAGATTACTTATCACATGTTACATGACACTCAAGAAGGTTCTTTGTTTGGGGCCCTTATAAAAGAGAGACCACCTTTTGTAGTGTTGAACATTAAAAAATGATGATATTAAAGAAAAACACATGCAATCTATATTGTTTGGCTAACACAAATGAAAGATTATTCTTTGCTACATGGCGAACATATCATTGAATAACGATTTTATAGAATTCATATATTGTTTACTAAATTCTATTAGGATTGCTAATCATATACAACAATAATTAAAGAAACAAAATAGCTTCAACATGGAATGGAAGTTATGTGGTATAGTGACGGACTTTCTTGCATGTAAAACTTTGTGGTAAAAAAAATGTTATGTGGTTTAGTGGACTTTCTTGCATGTAAAACTTTGTGGTAAAAAAAATGTTATGTGATTTAGTGATGGACTTTCTTGCATATAAAAGTTGGTAAAAAAATATATATATCGAAGGAAGTAGAGGGTCACATTTTACTCGCCCTATTATGCTTCTTTGGACCGAACTTTGTCATATTTTCCCAAATGATCACCGTTAGGTCATTTGAGCCTAAGGAGTTGTTTGAGAAAATGTCATTTAGTGTTGAATGATTCCAACATCAGCCGAATGATTTCAACATCTTAATCATTAAGAGAACTAGGTTTAGAGGCTTTTGATTTGTTCAGATGTTGCATCAAACACGTTAAAACACGTTAAGTGCAGATAACCTCCGAATGGTTCAGAACTTATCAAACAACCCCTAAATTCATTCTTAGGCAAGACGATCCATTTTTTCCATAGGTTTAGACTATGACAATCTTGCTATAACGTGTATTCGCTTTATCTCGACTTATGTTGTATGAAGAAGATTGTATACATTTGATTGATAGATTGCTTGAAAGATTAAAAGAATGATGGCAAGAAGTTTTATTAATTACATGGATATAGACACCTAACCATCATAGGATGATAACATGTACACAACTTAAAAGAATACAAATGTGGAGGTGGATCACAATTCACAATGAAAGATAGGACTAGAGACGAAGATACAGAAGAGAGGAGACCTGTATACAAACAAATAAAAACCTTTCGTTAATCAAAGTAATCGATGTTTTCAGGTTAGTGTTTTTTCTTTGCATCTAAAAAAAGGTATATATTTTCATTTTCGGTCCATATTTTCAGGTTTTATTTCGGTTTTGGTCCTGACCAACTAATGCAATATCATTTTGCTGGTTAATCTATTTGTAATACGAGACTATTTTACCTCAATATTATGGTTTTTCAGAATAGATTACATAAATGGTCCCTGTTCTCTATGATTTTTAGTGTGTTTGTCCAAAATTTATAAATCTTTTTCAATGTTAGTGCTTATTCAAGGTTCCATATCTATTTTGATCCTTGGTACCTAGAATTTCCAAGGACTAAAATCTACATAAAATCTTAAAATAAGGACCAGAAAGTCTTGATGACCAAAATCAATATGAAACTTTGAAATAAGAACCAAAAATGAAAACAGTTACAACTTTACGCTAAACACATTTAAAATTAGAAAACATAAGAGTAAGGAGTCACTTTTGTAATTTACTTTAGTTTAGCTAAAACCAAAATGAAACAAGGAAATAAGAATCAACACTTAGTTATACTCAAAGGACAAAATTGAATAAAAATGGAAACTTACAAGGCATACTCATTGCTCAACAAGTTTCTATCCCAATTTTGGTCCCATGTTGTTTCAACTTTTACGGATGGAGCTAAAAATTAAGAGAAATTACATCTTTGACAAAATTTTCAATTTTGTCTCAATATATTTAAGGTTTTTGTAGTGTTTTTGTTTCTTGTTTTAAATAAAATCACTATATTTGTTGGACCAAATTTCCAAATACTCAAAAGGACAAAAAAGAGTCATTTTAGTTAGAACAAGAACCAAAGAACCAAAATCATGACACGAAACTCGAAAAAAGATCAAATTTACAAAGAATTTTATGAAACCAAATTTGCAAAACTCAACTAATACTCAGGGACCAAATATGTTATCATTGAAAAATTAGATTTGTCACATTCACAATCCCTGGTATCAGTCCAGTCCGATGCACACCAATAACAATGCAAACCATTACAAGGTTAATACATTAAAAAAAATGGGAGCTTACAAGGCATTTTAGTGACTATTATGATCATGTTCGTGGGCCTGCGGCTGTGATCCCGAGTCTCCGGAAGATGATCTTGTCACGGTACTCGAACCCAAATTTACCGTATTAGCCCTCGGTGATGAAAACAAGCTACTAAAAGGCCAAGGAAAAGATACAGAAAACCGCCTCTCTTCATTATTCCTATTTCCCAATTCACCCGTAACCCCGTTTGATGAATTTCCAATAATACCCCTGGACCCTTCTTGTTCTCGGTCAACCTTTGACTCATCAGCTGGCATCTGATACCTACAAACTGGACATGAACTATGAAGCTCTAACCATGGCAAGATACAATCCCCATGAAACCTATGTTTACATGGCATTTCACGTGCTTCATTCCCGATTTCAAATTCCTCCAAACAAACCGAACATTGAATTGAATCTTCTTCGATTTTGACTTTTGGCATTGACTCGATTGCTTCTTTTTTAGCGGGTGGTGTTCCATATCGATTCGGGTCGTTTTCAGATAATTGTTGTAAGAGTTGTTCTAAACCAGGTCCAATGAAGTAATCACCAAAAGATCCAAATGGGTGGTTTTGCGAGAGGTTTCTGGAGTCAAACGGGTTGCCACCACCACTGCCGCCGTGGACAATGATAGATGGAGTGAAAGGATTGATCAGAATAACTTGTTCCTGGTTGCTGTCTCTGTCTACTCCGGCGACCTCCTCGTTGTTCTCCGATTCAGATGCCATGCCCGCTTGAATACCTTGAAGAAGGTGGAAGATGCCGGCGGTGCTCCTTCTTCTCCTCTGTTCAGGGTCCAACTCCGACTCTCCTCCTCCTCCATGGCGGCGGTTTTGTTCTTCATTCTCTTCGTCAAAACCAAGTTGTCTGAATCTCCGGTGACGGCGAGGGGTGTTCATCATACTAAGCAAGATTGGACCCCATAAAGAGATGCCATGGTCGGAGTCGGAACCAGAACCACCGTCGTTTTGGTGGTGGTGGTGGTCGTCGTCACTTCTTACGCTGTTCATTTCCTCCACGAAGCCGCCGTGACAAACTGAACATTTGACCGATTCGACCTCCATGACTGGATCGACGACTCTATCACATGCATGGCACCAATATCTTGTTGACTCTCTCTCTTCCTCCATCTCTCTCTCTCTCTTTCTCTTTCTCTTTCTATCACCAAAAAGTTTCTGCAATTTTTCGTTGAATCAGGAATTACCCATAACAAATCTTGAACTAATTTAAGAAAAAGCATACAACTTTCAAATCTTTCAAAACTAAAACAGAAAACCCAAGATTTAAAATTTAATACCCACAAACAATAAAACAAAAGATAATAAATTTTCATGAAAAAATATAAAACCCATCTAACCTTATTCTGCAAGATGATCGAGGCAATAAGGAAGGGCCCCAAAAATCTAAAACCACAAATTAATTTTCAATCTTTTATATTTTTTGTAAGGTGATTAACTGATTTTTCATACCATGACTCATATATGCATCATAGGAAGAATCTAGAAGAATATAGGGAAATTAAATACGAAAGCCTATGTTGACCACCACCTGAAATGAATGTCATGCTTCTGGAATTCTATTTGGATCTAGTAAGTTCTTTAAATAGCCACATTTCTTTTACCAATTCAGATGAAGAAAGAAAAGAAAAAGAAAAAGATTAAAAAAATAATTACCAGAAACAGCAAGGAAAGAGGGAGCTGGATTTGGGCAGATTTTCTCCTCAAACCTTGAAATTTGAAGGTTTTTGGAGAAAAGGTGAGAAAGGAGATGAGGAAATTTGAAAGGTTGGTTGTTTATATAAAATTCCCTCTGTAAAATTTTAGGGGTTTAGATTGAAGTGAATTGGGAATTTTGTAGCTGATTCATTGACGACTCAAATAAGTTTCATAGATTTTGTCTCGAAATTTACGGAATAAATCTTTCTAAAAATAGATGGGAATTAAACCCTATTGTTTAGGGAGTGGCGCAACACATCTCAAATTATTTCTTTTTAAATAGAGAAATTAAATATTTTTTTACTTTTTATTTCTATCAATCATTCTATACATTTGAATGATAACATGTGTCGTATTGATATATTAAAATATCATTAAATGAATATTAAATGTTACATATATAACTATTATATATTTAATTGAGTAGAAGGATTTGTGAGAAAAAAAATAAGAGAATATTTAATTTCTTTTTTAAATAATATTAGTATCAGAATTTGTATAGCTAAAATTTGTTGCTGAACTTTGCTGATTTGTTCCATTTTATTAAAAATGTATTTCTAATTGTTAATACAAGTTGCTGGTTTTGTTCATTTGCTAAATCTATTGTTGATCTTGTTGTTATGTGTTGAATTGTTGTTGAAATCTATTGTTGAGTGACTGGGGTTAGTGAATAGAAGTTGATGGTGTCGTGAAGGTTGCAGTGATGATGATAAAGGTCGATGACATGTGGGTGTCCGGTGATGGTGTATGATGGTTGCGTGTAATGAAGATGGTAATTGGTTGTTGCATGTTAATAGTGAAGATGTCATCTATGTGTGTTTCTGTATATTAGCAGCACTAAGTTATAACCTGTGGAAACCACGGTAGGTATGATCAAATTTTTTATTATATAGACAAAAATAAGATTAAATGTCAACATAATAAAAAACAATGTATTTCAGATTGTAAGTAAAGCCGGATGAATTTGATAAGTAAAAAAGAAAATCTTTTAAATTACATTTTGAAACACTTCTTTGTATATATCATTTGACGTTTTATTAGTTAAATTACAACTTTTATCTAAAATCAATAACTTCAATCACTACATGCTTATTTTTCTGGATAAAGCAACATATAACTGACCGTGTGAGAAAATTGGTTCTTGTAAAAAAAAATCAACATTTGACATCGATTGACATTGAATTTTATTTATGGTCATAGCAAAACAAACAGCCAACAAAAATTGTCACATTTTCAATTTGAATGGAATTTTGACGTCCAAAAGTGTTAAAGACAATTTAGAAAAAGAATATGTACTATATAAAAGTGTATAGATAAATATATGATAAAGTCATTGTTATAGTATATTATTACTAAGCACTTTGTATATATAAATTTTTTTAAAAATTAAACGTTAATGATGAAACATTAATTTTGTAAACTAAAATTTAACAATAATAATTTATTGTGTTGAAAAAGTTGTAAACATATTTGTGATTGAAAATAAACTAATATAATTTTTTATAATTATTTAAAGAAAAAAAAGTAATTACATGGTTAAAAGTTAGTGGAAAAAAAAGTTACACACACTTATGCTAGTACACTAACAAAGTATAGGGACTAAATTCAAACTTTAAATAAGAAGCATGAAATTGGATTACAGCAGGTATACGAATTTTTAAATCAAAGATGGTTTACCAGTTACCAAAAAAAACGAAAAAATTGAAAATTACGTATAAATACTTCTCAGTTTTTCGAATATTTATGTTATTAGGATAGGATGTTTTTTTAAAATTTTAAATGAAAGATTTTTAAGATTACCCAAACAAATGGAAACTTGAATTTTGAATTTTGAATTCCTTATAAATACTTTCCGAAAAATAAGGAAATATCAAAAAAAAAAATCGAAAAATAGGAATTTCTTAAAAATTGCCAAGTGTCAATTAGCCTACTTAGAAATGGGATATGTGGCATTTAAAGGTTTTGTTTATTAGAGGAGGTAGATTTTTTCATTCATATGTTCAAGAACCAAAAAAGATTATATACATTATTTCATGTAAACCTTGTATGGGGTGTGATGTTGACCAAATTTGTAACATCCCAAAAATAATGATCAAAAATTTCATTTTTAAAACCTTAATAAAACCATAATTTGTCAAACCATTCATTCAAAACATATTTAATCGGAGTATCATGTCTGAACATTTCATATCAGAGTAAAACATCCCAGGCTAAAACATCATGGTGTGTGCGATGCAGTCATCCCGAGCTCTTCCATCCGCTACTGGAAGTACCTGAAACCAAAACTGAAAACCGTAAGCACGAAGCTTAGTGAGTTCCCTATACTACCACATACCTTACATATAACCACATACTGCCCCCCCCCCCCCCCCGCCTGGCATCGAGCCCCGCTCGGTATACATATCTGTATCTCTTAGGCCCAGCCTGTCTTTGGGCCTCGCCCGCTATACACATACAATCATATAAACATGCTAACACATAAGCAAACATACTCTATTGTAATCCTATCCTAAGGCCTTGCCTAACTTGGGCCTCGCCCCTGTCCTGCAACTGATGAGTCATGGAACCCCGTCTACACTCCTGCTGATGGTGAGATACGGGCCTCCGCCCACACTCACTTCTCTCCTATCTCGGGCCCCGCCCATGCTCTGCTACTAATGAGATACGGAACCCCGTCCATACTCAGCTAGTGATGAGATACGGGACCTCGGCTGTACTCACCTTCCTACCAGGCAAATACAAGTATCACACAGACAACAAGTATAACTAACATACTAACATTCCTCGGGCTTGCCCCGGCATCGGACCTTGGTTCGGAATAACATACATATAACTTTCTTCAGGCCTCGCTCGGCATCGGACCGTGGTCCGGAAACATAATATCATACAATGCCTAGGGCTAACCCCCGGGTCTTCCTATCATACATAAACTAAATGGGTCGGCATTGTGGCCGTAGACCCATGCACACAGTGAGGAGACTCATCTCGCACTGCTGAAGACCTGCTGATACTCCTTCGACTGCTAACTGGCAATTCCCCGAACTGCTGCTCCTTCGACTGCCCGAGCTACGAATACCAAAATATCACTTAGTCCAAATCAATAATCCTTCTTAGGGTAAAATGACCATTTTACCCCTAGTCCAACTCGGTCCATAACTAAGGCCCAAACCATGATATACAAAGGCCCAACACTAGGTAGGCTTCCCAAGCCCACTAATGGCCCAATTTGCTAAATTGGGCCCAATCCCTCCAACGGGCCTTTCCTTAAGCCCAAACATCTTCTTGGTCCACATTATCTGACTTCTGATGGCCCACTAAGGCCCAAAGAACCAAAATCCCCTTGCATAGCCCAACCGAGGCCCAAAACAAGCCAAACCCATGTCTGATGCGTACGCTGGGTGTACTCCTATGTACGCTAAGCGTACAAGCTAAATGGTGCCTACGCTGGGCGTACCTGCTTGTACGCTCAACGTACTCCCATGTTAACTCACCTTCCCATTAAGTGCTTAATACTCTACTCCAGGAGCTACAAACACAGATCCAAGTCCTTTTCAACGTCTTAAACCATAAAGTCCTTCACTTGGTGGCTTGCAACCTACCAATAGAGCCCAAAATTGAAATGTAATAACTAACTTCCAAGGAATTGGTCTTAACTCATGCATGAACCCATTAGGACATCCAAGATGTCAACTTTCTACCTTAGGGACTCGTTTAGACCTGAGAGTAGCAACTCCAAGTCCAAGAAATCGGATTGAACCACAAAGCTTCAACCTTGGGACCAAAATGGTCCAAAAACTCAATCTAAGATATCTAAGGAGATAATCACCAAGTTTAGATCTTTATACCTTGAAATGGTTAGAAAGGAAGCAACAATCCCAGATCTACAAACTCTCCTTTGAACCACCACCTTGCCTTGCTCCTTTCTTGTTTGGAAAATGGATCCACAACACCAAGATGCTTCTCTAGTGACCTTCTAAGCTCCAAGAACACTCAAATATGGATTAGGGTTTGTAGTAGCTTCTTTAGGGTGGAAATGGAGGCTGACATTCGAGACATAAGGTTCTTTATATAGGGCTCAACCCTAAAATTAGGGTTTGGGAACTCTGAGCGTATGCTGGGCGTACGCCCCTCCACACCCGCGATCTCTTAACCCTTCTACGTTGGGCTTACCCCAGCTTACGCTGGGCGTACTCTTGCGCTGGCCACCTTGCATGCATGGTCCTTTCTTGCCATCTTTCTCCATTAAGGACCAATATTGCCAATAACTTCAAAGTGCTATAATTCCTTTATTCTAAGTTCGTTTCCGACGAACTTTATACCCACGAAAAGGTGGCGGGAAGCCCTACGCTCCTAACTACACACCCAAGCCTTAAAACCTTTAGAATAAAAGTCGGGACCCATAAAAGATCAAATCGCTTATACACTAGGCCTCCGAACCCACAACTGAAGTATTTTTCTAAACGGGGTGTTACAAAATTATCCGCTGATAATTGTAATGCAATATTAGGTTGTTTAGTTTACATTGTACTTTTGTTGTAATCTTTGGTGTAGTGCTTATATTTAGCATCCTACTTTAATGAATAAAATTCACATGCATGATGTTCATTTCTAACATCCTACTTTGTTGTAGTAGTAACTTTTTTTCAAGGGTATGATGTTGTAATTGAAAGAAATGATACAAAAAGGTAAAATGGTCATTTTTATCATTCAACACAAAATTCAGATGTTTCAACCAAATAGCATATTAAAATTCAGATTCTAAAAATTCAGACCCTTTTAGAAATTTAGACCTCTTAAAAATTCAGATCTTAAAAATTTAGATCCTACTAAACAGCCCTAAGTTGTTAAATTATGGGTATACAAACAATATTCCGTTTAAAGGGATATACAAAACAATTTAGGGGAAGGATACGTATAAAATTTCTCTTTAATTTGTATAAAATTAGAAATTTGGATATGAAATTAAAACATATGAAATATATTAATAAACATAGAACTTACATATTATATATACAATCTTTTTCTTCATATTTCGGTTTTAACCTTAGACGCTAATTCACGTTCCTCCCATTTATATCGAGACACGCCTTGCAATAGGAATTTCATGTCACCTAACTTTTGTTTTTCTTTTGCAAAGTGCAAGTACTTTTCTAAATTACTATTTAAGCCAGCGAGCTCCAACTTCATGTCGTTTACATGACTTGAACCACCCATAAGACCTTTTCCATTTAGTTTAGTTTGGCCTTTTACCACAGGACAGCTAGGTATTGTGTGACATCCTCAAATTCACGGTCATTTTAAAAATTTTATTTATGCTTATTTAAAAATCAGAGTATCCATTTTAAAGAATAATATTGCGGAATTTGTTCCCTGAAAACATGAGAAAGATATTATCAAAGCATTTCCGAAGAAATGTATTTTGTTTATATTAAAACATTGAGATGTCATCGTCAATACAGAAACATAAGCATAAACAGACCTTACATTCATTTACACTAATGATTTGCATCTCCTTTAATCTCTCAGTGTAAATGTATCTTCGTATCAACACCTGTGATACAAATAAACTGAGTGGGTCAGGTTGGAAAACCTGGTGAGTACATAGGGTTTTCAACCCATAATAATATAATTATTATGTTTAATCATCAAACAATTAACCCAACTTGTCATCCCCATTATCTTCTTTATTCTTAAGGATCTACCCTAAGAATCATCTATTCTCCATTCATTCATTCCTAAGGATTGTCCTAAGCAATAGGCATGAAGTCCATCGCTTCCAGGGTTTATCTAACAGACACTAAGTCCATAG